TTCGCCGCCCCCCAAAATTAACTTCTGCGCCATCAGCACACTTTGTATGAGTGAAAAGAGCTAAATTGCTGAAAATGTATTTCCCTCCTTCCCCTATCAACTTATACATCTCACAGTATTTACCTTGAAAATATGTAAATCCGCCACTGCTTCCTAGGTTCGAACCCCGGCTATGTAGCAACGGACTTTCTAAGTGCGGATTTAACACTTGCTCGTACCGTGTTTTCCAAATCACGAGGTAACGTGTGTTAGTTGGTAGGCTGATTAACTACTTGCCCATTTGAAAGAACAAAATGATCACCAAATAGATACAAAAAATTGGAGGTCCAGACCTTAAAAGGTTGTTGCGCCAGTGGCTTTATGTTACTTGCAAGCGTTCTATGTGATTCATAGATTTTATGGCAAGTCAAAGTTTATAAAAAATGTAAATAAATTTGAAAACGCTATTTTTTATTCTACTTAATCTATTAGTACTAGATCCTTAATCATATCTTCTGGATTCAACACATAGATAAGCAATACATGGCACAACTGTAATTTTGTGGTGTACCAATGCACATAGTACACCACAAAAATTATTATTTACGTCTTGTAAAGAGTCTTTATTAGAAAAACTGTTTAAGGAAATTATTAAGTAATTGTTTCGTCCCACATAAATTCCAAGTTTTCTACCTTATGAATAACTTCAATTTTTATAATTCTGGAATTAAGGCATCATTGCCATTGCTAGAACACAGCAGTCTACACTGTCTACGGCCTAGGTGCATACAGACGCATCCTGACAGACTGTTAAAGTCTGCTAATTCAAGGGTCTGGCGCTGTTTCATTTATAAGAGTTGGGTTGTAATTGGTTATGTATCCTTCTAATTTTAATATATGGCCATAAATACTGTTACATAAGTACTTCTTTAAACATATAAATAGGTTTCTCGTCATTAGATGACGTCATTATGGCTCTTTGCTAAGGAGTACCAATGTCAACTAATAATTGTATACAGCACATCCTAAAATAAAATTTTAGGTAATCAATATTGTTTTAACTTAACTCGTTTTAATTTTGTAAAACATCTTGTAATTTGTTTAGAAATACTTTTTTGTTGCCAAACGCTCGCCTTGTTTCGATTTCTTATAGGATTATTAAATCACGTGATTTGCGTTTTTGTAGCTAAGAATTATATTCAAATCGAAATAGGTCAGAAATATCATAAAAAGGAAAATACTTTGGAAAAGCAATTTGGGTGTTTTGTGAGGGGAATCGTTAGCCGCTATAAGTTAGGGATGAAACACCGTAATGATTTACTAGCTATAGCTCGCGGGTTTTGCCAGAAAATGATAAATTTCTTGTCTGATGTAAGTGCTATATATTTATATTTCATATACAGTGTTTTTCTGTCATACGAGCAAGGCCTAATGATTGCAGCTCTTAGGGTGTGACTCAGAAACAGGATTTAGCGCGAACTATGATTCCCGTTATGTCAAAATTATATAATTTTGTTTCTAACTTTTAGTTAGCTTTTAGTTAGCTAAGTTTCAAATATATTTCACGTCAAAAACTAAAGACATTAATTTCTCTGATAAAATCAAACACATAGTTTCAAAGCTTCTGAAATAAGTTCGTGTCTAACAGCCTAGATCAACATCCTATACAATGCTTGAATAGCTGCACACGCGATAAGTTCTACATAAACGATAACTGTTCGCTTTCGTACAATTTCGCTTTGACAATTGTTCTAATAAATCGATACATTTTGAATTAACAATGATTTAATGCTTTACATATTCTGATTTATCGTATTGTAGTATGCAATGTTGTATATTAAAAAATTATGGTCCTTAAAATACAATCCAGCGCATTATTATATTACGCCTATTGTCATATGTGTGTTACAACATTTTAGATATTTGACAGTAAAGAATGTGAAAAGATATTAAGAACGAGGACTAAAGCCCGAATTTGAAATATTATATAATAATAATACAAAATAATATTTCAACGTGAAAAAGCTATAAATTATGATAACGTATAAGTTTTTTTAGACATTAGTGTAGTGACAATTGTTCATGTTCAGTTATGCACTTGTTTCACTTTACCCTTAGTATTCCCTTTTTTCATAACTACTATTGCCTGGAAAAATTGTTATCGCTTGATAAAAAAGCTACCGTTATATTCATAATAATTTGTGTTACTGTTTACCTGTGCTTTTAATGTAACGAAGTTTTAATAAAAGAAAAAATGCTTATGAAAACCCCATTGCTATCTCCGGGAAGAGGATATGTTCACGCACACAAAATCAAACTCAGTTTCATATGATTTCTAATAACCGACAAGTGATATAGGGGCCATTATTAATATCTGTGAATATAATTTCAATTCGTTGTAATAACATAATAACAACTGAACACGTAATGATATTCCAATTACATAAAATTTTAGGTGAGTTTCGGATTAATTAAGAAGCTTATTTTAGTATATTATTAAGTACTATAATATAAAATGATGAATAATTTAATATAATAATTAGTTTCTTTATCACACAATTATTAAATCAAAATTATGTCTGTCTCGAACAATCACGTGCTTTTGCAAAATACACGACTTGATCTAGTGTAATTTGTTTAAAGTGCTACATTTTAACATAAATCCAATTTTAGTCTTATTTTTGTAAAAATTAGCACCAATAAAAATAATTCCCAATTCCCAAATGTCATCCTATTAAGGCGAAGGCCGGCATAATAGGTGTATGGAGTTTTCAATTAAAGCCGCAGTTAATAGACGCGACGCTCCAATGAGTGCGCCATTCATATATATTGTTTGATTTCATTTGATACAAAATTGACTTGCGATTCCGTAAGCCCAATTCAGTTTTTGTTTTTGATTTGTTATTTATTGAAATTTCCTTTATCTTATCCTTAAGGAAAGACGTATTTTAAGACTAAGCTAACAACGAAAAATTAGCAGCTTTGTTAAAATACTCATAAGACCAGAATTTTTGTAATCCGTCTTTCGTTTAAAATACACTAGTTAAACCGCGGGTTCACCCGCGTTAGTTCGGTCACAATGTGACATTATATACATTCTCGTATATTCCATGATAAATGGACCATTTTTTTTATCCATCTTATTTAATAATTGTGATTTTAAAATGATTAGTACTACCATTGTTTTTATAGCTAACCTATAGTATATACGAAATAAAATACATATATATTATATATAATTTAATACATAACAATAAAGGATCATTTATCCCCGTATTTATAATTACATACGGCGATATAAATATAATATATCGTAACCTTGTATCTGCTTTATTTTTCTTCATAGGCAACCCAACCCAAGACAATTATGACTATTATTGCTTCGACAGAAATCGAACCGACCAGGAATTGTGCTAACCAACGCATCGAGGCAAACTAGTTAATTGATAATTTCGATTAATACTGGCATAAGAATCAGAAATAAATTAGGTTTCTAAAATAATTTGAATTCACTAATTGCATTTGCGTATTAGGTTGCAAATACCAAGTATTTATACAGGAAGCTATACAAATTGTATGTACAAACAAAATATTTCTCTAATTCATAAACGTGTCATCCACTCTAAATTATTATAGCAAAGAACAGCTTATGTGTTGTTTAAAGAGGTCCCAACGGCTCTGAATATAACTTCCCCTTAATTAACGGATCTTGCATACAAGACAAATGTTTATTGTTCGTACAACACATGTTTATCGGTTTATTTTATTGTTGGCTTATTTAGTTAATTAGCACGCTGTTAAATGTGATTAATCTAGCTTATGGGTGTTTATATGTTAGCTTATAAAACCACAAATGTTTTGAAGTGATCTTTAAAATAAAGTTTATAAACGCGAATTTATTAATTGATTACATTATTTATAACTAATGCCTAAAGACGTGGTCAGTGGGTGTCATGTCAAAAATTTTATATCATTCACTCATTCCGCTGCGACTCAAAAAGTGTCTTGGCTTCCGAAACGAGAAATTTCCAGCTGCAGGAGATTCTCTTCCTATCCAGCGATACCGGCAGACCTGGTCTTCGACCACTAGGCAGGCTCAGATAAGCTTTATTCACCGTCCGATCTTGGCCCATACACAAGGCCCTAGCACATATCTTGCGATAGTTTCTGAGAGCCCAATGTACATACCGTTTTTATTCCGTTTGTATAGTTTCGAATTCTATTCGAACGATGCATGTTCGTTTTGTTCCAAAATTATTTCTACTGATTCCATATGCGAACACACTTTTCTATATGAAAAATGAAGGTACAAAGTCATAGATATATCCAAGTAAAATATTTAATTTAATTCTGAACGTAGCTCAGTAATAAAGTTATCTAGTAGATGCCTGATGATAACAATGATTGTAAAACCATTTCAAAATTGGATTGACCGCACACTGCGCCTGACTTAATCATTACTAGAAACCACACAATGGCTCTGACTTCTGGCAGTATTGATAAAACCTATTCCATTAATATAATGAATGCAAAACAACGAATCAAGTTTTATGAAAAAAAATATTTACCTTTCCTAGTATTTAGAAGTACATAGATGTAATTTAGATATTGATCGCTACAATTTTTTATGGCTATACGAGTAGATTAAGCAAGTATATTTTAAAAAAATACTAGAAGCCTTCGAAAACCTTGCTACTTGCTTTAATTTGCTATGGTCCAATGTAGTTCTTCGGTTAGGGGATTCAATTATAGATTTTCTGTATATCAACTTAGGTTTAATACAAGAATTAACTGCTCATAAAAAATGCTAGTTAAAATTCTGAAGAGAGTGCCGTCTCTTGGCAATACTCTCGGGTTGTAACTCCATCCATATTGGCAATCTCTCTTACAAAACAAAATATTCCATTACAATAAAATATTCTTTATAGTAATACTTGTCTACAGGTCCAAACAAAATGAAGGCAACGTAACGAAGACTGGGCGATGCGCGGCGCGCGCGCGTTACGTGCCCTGCGCGTAACATGCGCTCACTAAACGTGACCGCTTGCGCGGCGCTACTCGATGACGTACGCTGGGACGAGCCCACCAGCGTAGCAAGCCTTGCTGTCCTCGCTCTGATAGATGTCCTTGTTATCACAGGTAAAATTCCATAAGCCTTAAGGCTTCCTCCCCTTTCAACTCTCTCCGATCACGTTTACTGAAACGCACTCGAAACGTGTTACAGTGTAATGAATTCAATTTTGTATCCGACAAAGAAGTTTTCGTTCAATGTACAGTCGTACGTAAACTATAAACCATATCGAACTTTTATTTTATAATCAATTTCATAATTTAGTGTGAAACATAATCACGGGCTGATTGTAAAATTGTGACACGCGTTTTAATCTGATAAAGTGTTTTTTTATCTCTGATGTCCATCCTTTTTAGATAACAAGCATTCTATTAGGATCTACGTTTCGTGTGTATGATTATGGCAAGCGATTGCTAGCGTGACGTTAGATATAAGGTAGACAAGATAAGCGTGGATTCGCAATCGAAATTCTCCTTCAACCACTTGTCATAGTTAACGTGAGTCCCGTAACATAACCACATTCCTCACAATATTTTCGTATTTACGTTTGTAATATTTTTTCTATAGTATTATTTTATTTTACATTACATTTATATTACAATTACGTCATAATAACATAATTACTTCTTAGAGACTTGGCTACTTTGTATTATGATTAAATTTTGATGTGTTATGTAAGTTTATAATATAAGTATCAATAATAATGTTCTTAAATGAAACACTTTGCTTGATTCGCTTTCCAAATAATTTTTTAAATACCCAGTCTCGTCATTGAATTAAAAATGCTCCATTTAAGCATCACACTATAGGATATTTCTCTAGAGCATTGAAATAACAATTAGTTACGACAAATTCAATTTCTGACAACGTTCAAGAAAGTAAACCGAACGAGCACTTTCAAATGTACTTTGACACTTCAAATCAAATTAAATAAATTACGAGAAAGTATATTATCATACTGATGCAGTATTATTTTTATTTTATGCTTTAAGAGAATATATAGGTATTTTAAAACTAATAAAATATGATTTTTGTACTAGAAATAATAGTACATAAAATTCGTTCTTTTGCGATTTAAAGCAAAAACGTGGCGTGGAACTCTTGATGTTAGCATTATGAATCTGATAGCAACTAAAAGGGGAAAAGGGGAAAAAGGGGGGGGTATAGTTGTTTATTGAGTGTATTGAAGATAACTACTAAGTTATACGATATTATTTTGGTTTTTTTATTAAAATTCGAAAATCTACATCCTGTACTTTTTCTAATATCCACTAGATTGGTACTGATAAGTTCTTGCGTTAGACATACTATTTATAGTTGTTTATTGAGTGTATTGAAGATAATACTAAGTTATACGATATAATTTTTTTTTCAAATCAAAACTTTTTGTTTATTTCGGACCCCACTGTGAAAAAAAATTACTCTACCGAAAAGTGACCCTATATTACAAGTTTTCGCGCATTTAATATGGATTCTGAAAAGGCCACGTGTAATACCTTTTCAGAATCCCTATTAAATGCGCCAAAACTTGTAGTACAGGGACACTTTTCGGTGGAGTAATTTTTTTTCACAGTGGGGTCCAAAGTAAAGAAAAATTTATGACTTGAAAAAATGTTATATCGTATCACTTAATATTAAGTGATAATATTATCTTGAATACACTTAATAAACAACTATAAATAGTATGTCTAACGCAAGAACTCATCAGTACCAATCTAGTGGATATTATGAGAAAGATACAGGATGTAGATATTTTCGAATTTTAAGAAGAATTAGTAAAAAAAAGTCAATTTTCATATAAAAACCAAAATAAATCATAACTCTGCAGGGGTTGACCTTAGAGACCTCCCGTAGAACAATTTTTTGCCGCTGATGACCTCATCTATCCCCTATTTGCGTTTGATCCACGACTTTTTGGCCACCCTGTATATATCAATGTTGTGTAAATATTTTCGTTAGTACCTCACAGAAAAAGTCGCAAATAGATTGTAAGCAACCATTCAAACATTATTCTATTTTTAAAAAACTATGCATTTTAAAACTCAGAACTAAACGCCAATCGTCGAGTGGGCGTTTGAATCAAAGCTATTCTAAGCATATTCATTTATTCCAAAGTGAGAGAACCATTAGCAAATTACATTACTGCTTGTGCCGGAGCGTAGTTTTTATACATACAATGTAGAGTGTAGACGTAGAATATCGAGTGTAGACGTAGAATATTGAGAGGAACTATGGAAAATGTTAATATAATTTCGGACCACTTAAAAGCCAATTTAAAACAAGCTAACCGTGTCTGCTTTGGACGATGAAAGCACATTGTACATGGAATTATACTTCTTTGACTGACTGATGGGGTCGATGCGGTCTGGTTTATTTATTTTTTGTATGACTAGCCGAGGTTTGAAATATGGTTGATCGTGAATCGAACCCAGAACTTGTAAACCGGAATTGAAACTTCATTCAACGAATCGATACCTAACACGTAGGTACTGTATAAATAGTAAGGAAATGCTGGCAAAATTACGGTCATTTTTTATTAATACTTAATTTACATCACAATAACACAAATAGGAGAAAAATTAAGATTCAATAAATGAAGACAGACGTTAGGAAGGACTTAAGGGGCAATATTGCCGTTGAAAGCAGTTTCTTCCAGACAACTCTAACATAAAAAATATAATAATACATTAAATAAAATACAATCATTTATTTGCTTTCTTTGAAATAGAATTTTCTCAGAACACTCGGTAAATAGATTCAAATCTTTTATGTACTCCTAAAGTCTTTACAAAGTTAGAAATCTCAAATTCGGAAGCTACTTCTAATATCATAATATCAGGAGTTATAAATCATAAACTTTGGCAAAGTCGGTAAATTCAAGTTTCTGGGCCACTCTTACAAACTTTTCAACTACCCACGTATATTTATGGAAATTCCTTTGCAACTCGGCTGCGGCTTTTCTAATACTATAATACTTTTTACGACAATTCATAAGAAATAATTTAGTCTTACTGTTTAAGAACGTTTATTATTGTGGTTACGCTTATGAAACGAGTTCATGCTTTGACAGATATTATGACCTAATTTTTATTTAACTCAAACGCAAAATAACTTTATTCATGTAGGCATCCAAGTACACTTATGAACGTCAACAGAAAAGATGTTAAATTAATTCTAAATTTACATTTACTACCAGTTCGCAAGTCAAGAGCGTAGAGCGGGCAAGAAGAACTAGCAAGAAACTCTCCGCCACTCTTTATAATCGCCAAGTTTTAAGTCATACAAATTGTTTGAACAGGAGCAAATCAATCCCAAGAATTAGGATCATTTAAATATTCGTCAAATTTATAAAAAGGTTTATTGATTAATTTACGTTAAACGAGGCTTTTAAATTGATTCAGTGACAATTCTCTAATTTCGCTTGGGGGTTTGTTTATAGGCGTATAGTAAAGATTATATATTACAATTTAGCATATCGCACGCCTGGGCTCCTTTGCAACACTGGCACTTGCAAGAAGCCCTTTTTCAATGTGAGCTTTTAAGTATGAAGCGTTCCATGACGTCGTACTAAAACATAACGCTCAAGCTAATTCTATAGTTATTAAGACAGTGAGATTGTCGCACCATGTGTAGGGCAAATAAATTGTACTGAATTTTGTAAAACGTTGTTGCACTGTTGTTATTGCGTATGCAAACTAAATATGTTCTTAAATTGTTTGTAGTCCTCTAAAGAGACATGGTACAGACATATTTCTACAACCGTGTTATTAATATTTTTAAGCCTTCTGTGCCTATCAACACCAAATCGTTTCGCCTGAAGTTGATCCCAAGGCCATGACAATTTACAGCTGCTAATATTCAAGCAGCACAATACATGACCAAAATTTAACCTTATCTTTATGCCTTTAGTACACTAATTTATATAATAACTTTTATTAATATAAAAACTTGATTATATATTTATTAGAATTATACAGGTAGGTTCTAAAATCTACATTCGTTATGTATCTAGAACCTACAATTGAGGTTATTGTATATTTAATTTTTAAGAATAAAAAAACGTGCATATGTTTGAAACGTCTTTAATTTCCCTTTCTTGTCACATAGTTTCGTAAAAATCAGCAATAAAATCGTGCGACAGGTGACGCGTAAAATTGCGATCCATAGCTCCGAAACCTTTTTCTGTTTGTTCTGGTTATATTTAGATGGGTTTTTGTTTATTCAACGCACGAAAAAGGTTGTTGATAAATGGCTTTATTTTTTTGGATTTATTAGTTATGAGAAAAACATTGTTGATTGACGTATAAGCTAGGCTCAGCTCCGCCGCAGGAACTAAATTATATGTGAGCGGTACATTCCATGAGTATACATCTCCAAAATTATCAATGATGTATGTATGTATGAAATTTTTTTATACCTTCTATATATAATTAAGTGTTGATTATGGTTTGTATAAAAGGGGCACAAATATTCTGAGGGAAATTTAAACAAACAAAAAATTCTTTATTAAGTAAATAGTCTTAAATCTATATTTTAGTAAATCCCTTTTAAGTTCGAGAACCTGTGTTTTTTAACGCTCTTTCCTATATGTTAATACTTAATCTACTAAAGAAAGCAAAACAGTGTAGGTACATAAATAGGTAATTAATTAAATAACATACTTTAAAAACCTCTGGCGAATGTTGATATTCAATCGTAATAACTAACAAGTGAGGTAGATAAAAATCAATCGCACCATCGTCTTTTTTTTGGTTGAGTGTGTGAGACATGAGTGTAACTGTAGTGCAACTCAGACGAGTGTAGTCCGTATGTCGTGACTAGTGCAGGAAATTTGGATGTTGACATAAAAAAACGTTTAAACGGGACGTCCTTTTCGAACTCCATTAAAATTCAATTATTTGAGCTTAGTATTGTCTTTGATTAACATAACTTTTATTCATTTAATAAAACACTATTTTGACCGGATTGAAGTTATGTATTGTTATAAATTTACAACTATTTAACATAATTTTAAATTTATCCGACGTTTCGCGTGCTTTACAGCGTGCGTGGTCACGGTGACCACGCACGCTGTAAAGCACGCGAATAATTTATAACAATACATAACTTCAATCCGGTCAAAATAGTGTTTTATTATTTGAGCTTATGTACCAAAACACCTACGTTGAGAGAATAAGCAATTCTTACTACTATGAGTACTCAATAGTAAAGCGATAATTTTATTATAATTTAAACTCAATTTAACTAATGTTAAGTCAGTTTCTAGACAATATTCAGGCAGACTCCATCTAACGGCAGCTTAACATCTACACGATCACCGAATACAATTGAAAAAAAAAGTGTTAAAGTCGGTTTACACAATTGGAACTCTCAACGTCATACAAAAATATTGCGGGGTTGCATTTTTCAAAAAAATATTAAATCTTAGTTTGATAGGTATTCGTATGGATATAGAGAGTGGTAACTGGAAATCACAACTGAATTGATCACGACATTTATTTGTACGATAAATACAAGTCAATTTTAAATAACGCCTCAGCGAGGTAAAAAGAAAAAAGAGGAAAAAAGAGAGGGACAGAATGGGAAAAAAAAAAAAAAAAAAAAAAGAGAAAAAAAAAAAAGAAAAAAAAAAAAAAAAACTCATTCTCTCACATGCACAATCACGCGTCCCGTAACAAAATAAATCTTACGCAGAGTTGGAGATGCTACTGAGCCACTAACGTGTAGTTACACATAATACTCACTCATTCTCTCACATGCACAATCACGCGTCCCGTAACAAAATAAATCTTACGCAGAGTTGGAGATGCTACTGAGCCACTAACGTGTAGTTACACATAATACTCACTCATTCTCTCACATGCACAATCACGCGTCCCGTAACAAAATAAATCTTACGCAGAGTTGGAGATGCTACTGAGCCACTAACGTGTAGTTACACATAATACTCACTCATTCTCTCACATGCACAATCACGCGTCCCGTAACAAAATAAATCTTACGCAGAGTTGGAGATGCTACTGAGCCACTAACGTGTAGTTACACATAATACTCACTCATTCTCTCACATGCACAATCACGCGTCCCGTAACAAAATAAATCTTACGCAGAGCTGGAGATGCTACTGAGCCACTAACGTGTAGTTACACATAATACTCACTCATTCTCTCACATGCACAATCACGCGTCCCGTAACAAAATAAATCTTACGCAGAGTTGGAGATGCTACTGAGCCACTAACGTGTAGTTACACATAATACTCACTCATTCTCTCACATGCACAATCACGCGTCCCGTAACAAGCATAAGGTTAAAAAAATAAAGATGATAAATTGTTGTAAACAGTTTTAAAAAAAAAATTAAAAAATAAGTGTTATGGAATTAATTAAATTTGTGATGGAAGAGCTGGAATCCCTGACACAGGTATTTTATTTAAAAGGGTTCCTAAATCCTATACACCGTAATGCATAGTTATAATGAATAAACATTTTAATATTCTAGGCATTCAAGAAAAAGAAATCATTGTTTAAACATAAACACCTTTTTCTAAATATTAAAGTTTTAATATGAGAAAAAGTATTATACATATAGATATTTACTGTTATACGAGTGAATTCACTAATAGTAGAATCTAAACTTATTTTGCAGCTAGGAAATTGTACGTACTTAAAGCTCTCGGGATCTTTTAGTCAAAGCGAATATTTTAAATACCTTGAAAATGTAAGCGCAAAAACTACACGGAAGATGATTTCTTTGTAAATTTAAAGATTCTTTACTACTATTTCAAGAGTATCTTCAAAGGCGATTATTATACTATGCTTGTAGATTACTGAAGCCCATCACCGTGCAAAATTATATATATATACAATATATTAATATCATAAATAATAAACAGTTAAATTATTGCTTAAGCGTATTCTGTTCTACCAGTATACTTTCAAGCATATAAATGCACAATGCAGGTCTGAGGGGTAGACCTAAAAATAATTTTATTTGTTCTTGCACCACATAATTATTATTATTACATTTAATATCTCATCTATCTCAATTTTAAGTAGCCCAAACTAAGTGTCGTATATTATAATAATAAAGGCTATAGGGATAAATTTACTATATTCATGCAGTAAATTGTAGTATAAAAAATGCCTAGTATTAGACCGAAAATATAGTTTGTAATGTATAAACGTAACAACTACGTTATATTTATAGAAATTTCCCAGCGAATCGTCATAGAACAGTGCCCTATCTCATCGGCATTCCAATTAACATAAAACTAATGGAAAATTACAGTCAGTTTTTCCTTCCATTTATATCGATGTAACAAGGGCATTGTACTTAGTAAACGAACACCCTAAACATTTTCATAAATAACTTCACAAGTACATATATAATTAAAACCTACTTTACATTCATCCGAACTGTAATTAAATTCAACAAAAGGGGATACAACAAAGCGAAGTAATCAAAATGTTTTGTTTGGACAGCACTTCTGAAACGCACTTTTTTCTCCTACCAGTAATGGCTTATGTGCGGCTTATTTTCAATTAGGATTCTTGTTAACCAGCGTTTGATGCCCTATTAATACACACTAACATTTGAAAATAAAACAAATGACAAAATAATTGCGACTTTCATGACGCGTTTTGATTGGCCTTACTAGTCCAATCCAAATTCCAGTTTTCCTAGTGCTGTTGACTTGTCACAATCAAACGAAACGCGCCGTCGTTTTTTCACCTACATCACTATGGGCATTTTCAAGAATACAAAAACGCCTACCACGCCTAATATAATAAGATACGCTAGAACGTCGCTTTAGTAGCCCCCTTTGCTCTTAGGGGGTCTTATAATGAATTTAAGTCTGTAAGATGAATGTGCAAGGGCAGTATGTCTACCACGAGTTTAGTAAAAATGTGTTTATTCATTTGTCAAGAATGTGTGAGATTTGGAAACCCTTTTAAGTAAAGAAATACCTGTGTCAGGGTTCCCAGTTCTTCCATAACAAACATAATAGTAAATTCCATATAAATATATAATTAAAAATCTATAGGGTTTCCAAGCGGGAAAATATTTAGTCAAACACATGTTAGTAGGCCAAAATGCCAGGCAGACCTAGCAAACTATGTCTGCCTACCATTAAATACAGTACGTCAAAAATGTATTAAATGTTAACATTCGGGAGTTATAGTTATGCCAAAATAAAAACGCCACGTAACACACGTTCGTCTTTAAACAGCCTATTTCTATTTTATTTAAAGCATAATAATGGAGCCTAGTATCTGTTGTTTTTGCACTCAGACAGTTTTCAAGAGGATTTTGTTTTGAAAGTTATTATTATTTCTGAATTTATAACATTAAATCACCGTAAATATATATAACTAGTATGTATTAGAAAAGACACACTTACATTATTACAAAATAGCAGCGCAATTTCTTGCGCTAATTATCTCATAGTACATAACCAGGTGGTGGCAAGTGAAAACCTGGTAGACCGAGGCTGTGTTGGTAGGATGAAGTTCTTTAGGAACTCGAAACAATAGGTTTTTGAATTTGGATGCAAGCACGAGATAGATTGGGATGGCGAAAGATACTTGCAGAGGCTAAGGTCCATAAAGGGCTGTACAGCCATTGATGACGAATAACCTCATAGGGTCTGAAGAGGACTTTATATTTTTTTAAATTGTTAGCACAAAATATGTTGACATGGAATAAGATATATCTACAGTGGATTATTATAATCCTAATTATAATATACTATAATCAAGGTCTAATAAACCTTATATATCTAAGTGAAACCCTATCTGGGTGAAACTCGCTCTTGATCTGAGGTCCAGATAATCCAATAAGCGGATTACATTACTATTATTAATGTAACTTTACAATAAATCTTTATTCTCAATCTTTCAGGAAACTGCTTGGTAATAGCTGCAGTCCTTTGCTCGTCAAAGTTGCGCAGTGTCACAAATCTTTTCATCGTATCGCTGGCAGTAGCCGACTTATTGGTCGGCCTAGCAGTGCTGCCTTTCTCGGCTACCAGGGAGGTGTTTAAGGTATTTAATGAAATACAATAACATATATATAAAGCGGCTTTAACTTCGATACTTCGATACACATTTGAACTTTTCGTTTTGTCATGTTAATTTCAATTAATAGCCATTTGCAGCTTATAGTACGGTAAGGGCTTAGACCCCAACGGCTCAAATGTACGGTACGTTGTACATTAAAATAGTACTTAGTAGTAAGATAATGACATAAATGATAGCTTCTAGACTCTAATTATAGCCTAATTGTGGCTTTGTCCTGGGAATCCATTTGCAGGCTTTAGAGTTACTGTCTATCAATAAGTACCTAGTCACTATATCCAAATTTCTTGTGGATAACAACTTGTTTAATAACTTGTTTTATTTTATTTTTTATTTTAATTTTATTTTCAACAAAATAAGCTACCATTACAGGTTACTACAATGCGGCAACTATTTATATATCAAATACAAAACAATACATACCTATAATATAACAGAAAACAATAATAGATTTAAAAGATATAAAAAGTGTAAAATATTTAAGGGACAAATGTGACCGTATGTTAATTATTTATTATATATAAAGAACAATGTAAAATCTATAGTTGCAATATTTGTAAATATATGAGCTTTGTGTATTTACATAATAGAATAATTAAGTTATCTGCTGCATATCTTTTTAATAACACCATGCGCCTATTTTACTTTTTTTTGTTCATGGTCTATCAAATGAATGTATACAAAATATTGTAAAACCTATTTTAAAAGACTAAGTATGGAGTTTCTTTTCCATTCTTCACCATATGAAACTACCGTTTGGAAGGGGCAACTAGAGTATTTTTTTTTAATATTTTTAACTTGTAATTTTGACTTTAAAAAGTACCTTTTTAATAGGCCTAATTGAAATTAATGATTTGACTGACTTTGAATATATTTAAAAAAACTAAATTTCAAACGAAGTTAGGTTTAGGTTTAAAGATATTTATTCTCATAACAGACAATAGTCACTTACATGAGAACTTATATACTAAAGATACAATTTATCACGTCGTGGGTCATTGAAGAGCTTCAAGGATCAATTAGCGAAGTAGAACTTGGGTGGATTTTCATTTACGCAGGTAACTGGAATCACTCAAGAGATGGTCTTTTTGTCTAAATTTAAATATTGCAACAACGAATTAGTCTAATATAACGTATTCCTCCGGCTTTGTAATTTAGTAAGGATTAATTACTTCGATCGAAGAATATGAAAGATAAATAGTAAGAATTCTTTGTAAAGATACTTCCAACTTTTATTACTTTATTGGAAGACTTAATTATGCCATCAGTCAAGTTATTTGTATCAACGTCAGATAACGACTCTTGGAATTGAGAGCTAGGAAATAGAACCACAATCTTGTAGAAGTTTATTTACTTCTATAACAAGCTTCAATCTTGTTTAAAATGAGAGCTTTTTAGATCGAGTAGACCCACTGATTGACGGAAGATAATTTTAAAGTTATTTCTCAGTGAAAAATGAAAATACTTTTTAAATATACTTTGGTTTAAAGACGTAGTAAATTCAACATAATATCGATGTTTCTATCGTAAGACATGACGGGTAAGTAGTGTATTTATTTGGATAAGAAATAATATCATGTTTATATTAAGACCTTGCAATAATGCATTATATAAGAACAAAACCAAAAAAGGTTAAAGCCAATTAACCTTAAAGAGCTTTTTTAAGATTAAAAATTCCTTCATGCATTAGTTAGCGTAACTTTTATTGTGTACATGCATGAAACGCATAGTAAAGGTATTATTTTCTTGTTTTTGCTAAATTTATTATTGAGACTCATTCGTTAAACTATTGAATAGTTTTATAGTTTATCTATTACAAATTAAAAATCAAATCTCTTTATAAGATTGACCTAGTTTTTATTGGCATATTTTTGTATACGTAAAGCAAAGCAGAGTTTTCATTATGGCTCTTCGATTTTACACTTAAATCTTAAAGGTGCGTACAGACTATATAACATAACATGTTATACAACATTGCTATACAACTATAAAACACGTTATAATAACATGTTATTGATATGTTTGCTAGGACGAACCCAGCATCTACGTTTTTTTGTTTTTCTTTTGTTATTTAAAATGGTTATATAACATTGTTATTCTAATGTGTACAGTATTGTTTTATGTTATAATGTTGAATAACAAGGTTACATAATGTGGACGTGTTATAAAACACATGTTATATAATATGTTACATAGTCTGTACGCACCCTAATAATTGAATCAATCCGTGAGTCAACTTATGAACTGTCAAACGACACGTAAAATATAACATCTGAATAAACAATGTGCTTGATAATACTGCTATTTTTGATCGTATGACATAATAATAGGGTTGAGCATCCACGAGACAGAAAATCTTATCAACCCCTTGGATTATAAATTATTGAAATAAACGATTTAAAAAAATGCAAAAATGTGTCGTTACTTACAATAGAGGCAGCCATCTGGAGACCCTTTGTGAAATGTCATTGAATTGTGTGGTATTAATATTTACTGGCGATAATCAAATAATATAACATATTTTCGTATAAGCACTATAATATGCGGGGCAATATATGAGATTCGAAAATTCAACTATCTAACCAAAGAGGACTATTAAAAAGTTTCGTGAATTAGATTAATATTTATTTATTACATTGAAAAATTAAAATAAAATATGGAACCCTCTGGGTTAAACGTTGAATAAAAATTATTATCTATGTTCTAAATTTAAATAAATAATCAGTTAAATACTGCGATTCGTGTTCCAATATTAGTCATGTACATACTTTGCACAAAATAATATAAGTATACAGTGAAAATGACCATGAAATTACACGAAAATTTTCACTGGGTTTTTCAACTAATTAGACAGAAGGGCGTCGATGCTTTTGCCTTATTAGTGCCGCTTAAATCAATTCATTGGTGTAGTTTTTGTAAAATATGAGTTTGTTTATTTATTTCACATCAACAAAACGTTAATTCATTAAACGTCATAACGTTGGTTTTGGTCATATTGTCAATTGCTATAGCTTACACTTTCTCACCAATGCCTTTGAATTTCCATTACATTCCATTTTAATCTATGAAGTTGCTTGAGAAATTTTTGTACAAAAATAGAACTGATAGTATTCAGATTTAAGACACGAACTATTTGAGAAAATCCCTCAATCAATATTTAAACTGAAAATATAAACATCCAATTATCAATAAAAATCAAGCTAAGTAATAAATCATTTATTTATATAGATTGTTTAATGAGATCAACATAATATTATCTATTTGTTTCTGTTTCGTCCTGCAAGCTATTGTTTCTTCAAGCAAGTAAGTCATAAATTCTGGATTGTTCTAGGTCCAAAGTTTTTTTTGTATTCTAAATGTATTTATAAAACTACTAGCAGATCGGCCAAGCGTTGCTGTGGCTAAGGTTTTTGTTATATTACATAGTAGTAAACACATATTATCACTAGGTACAACTAGGCACTATGTACTTCGTACTGAAACGCACCGTCACTTACAAAGAAGCAACCAATTTTGTGGACGTTAAACAAATGTATTACAAATCTGGTATTAATTTTAAATAAAGTAAACAACGGCAGTATCGCTATCGATTTATTGAAGCAACCCTACAATATGATACAAAACAAGAAGAACTTTGCATATTAACAATTAACTAACTACAGAGAAGACTGCAAACGATCATATTATAACGTAGAGTTATACACCATATTAGCTATAAAACTAAAACGGAAAATGTATGTCAGTAAATCTTAAGACTTGTACACAGACAGATAGAGCAAAACGTTTCCGCCTGCGAGAATCATCTCTTTGTTGGTGAGATGGGACTTATCTATTTATATTACGTCTTAGTAGTAAGCGCTGGATTTAATTATATAACCAACACAACCAGAATCATAATAGCAAAAGCCACCTGTTGGGCGTAGATTTCTGTATCTTCCATGATCATTTTTCCTTCTAGGCAAGTAGGTAATTAACCTTCCACACATTCTTGCGTCTAAAATATACCATTCCTCACGTTGTACCTATTCAATCACCGTCAAATACTAGTGTAAAAATCTGTTTATGAGCCATAGCGAGCCTAGAACTGTTAGAACGTCATAAAGAAAAATATGTTAGGTATTCCAAGCCTAAAGTTGTTTGTTACTAAACGAAACACCCAGTAAATTAGCGTTATAAGTTATAACTGCCTTTGTGCGTTATTTTGTACTTAGGTGACAATTTTGAACGGTAATAACATAAAAAATATAATTAACATGTTCAATTTTAGATCAAAACGCCTTATCCGATAATATAACGATTTGTCTAAGAGAAAATTAAATGGTTATCCTTAGTTTGAATGTAGGTTGTGTTTGAACAACAACAATCTGCCGTCTCACTTCGGACATCAATTCCAACGTAAGAAATGTATGGATTAAATAATGTATTCTGTGTACACACTTATGGACTGCATACATGGCATGTCTCAATAGACATAACCCGCCATAGTCGAATAAGCCTTATAATAAAACTAGGACAGAATCCTCACTTATCGCGAGAAAACGATAAAGCGCATTGCTAGATTACGCTACGCTTTTTGCTGAAACCGGAAGTATCAGTAAAAATATTATATTCAATTCAGTGTATACTAAGCTATGGAGATGTTTTTTTTGGGTATCTTACTTAATCTTTTAATTCTAAAAGGTGTGAACAAAACTGACATTTGTGACGCCATTTTCAAGTGACAATAAAAAATTGCAAGATTCTTTCGTTAGACATAGTTCTTTTACATTTTATATATATATTTAAAACTACCTTAGCCGTTTTGTTATCCAAATGATTACTTTTTAATTTAAGGAGCGATCTATCTTAACCCCCGACTAAAGTAAAGTAACCCGTAATAAATCTCTGAGAATTTATAGTTTTAGAAGACAAAGGGCCTTTTGGACTCGTACGATTTTCTTATACCTAATGTTATGTCAAAAATCTATTTGCGTAACTTATTTCACTGCGTAAATTTTATTAACGTTATTGCGTTGTATATTAACTTACAGACGTCAAACTGATATTTAACATTTTAAATTATTATATTTTAAAAAGCCATTGCTTAGGGAAACTATTTAGTCTCCTATATGTATAAATATACTACTTTTTTTGTTTCGTACGGGTTAAAAACGCCCGCTTTTGTATTATTCAGCCTCTTTCATTTTTAATAGTATGGAGTGATAAAATGTATACGAAGGAATAAGCAAAATCAAAACATTTTTCGATCCTCATACAATCAGTGCTCAGAATTCAATCTACCATAGTATTTTTATATCAAAAAAAGACTTCATAGGCGTTCGTTGGAAACTCGCTACAGTTTTATGCAATAATACCCTTCAAATGGTTTCAAAGTTAAAACGCTAAACGTGGCACGTATTAATATTCATTAATTACTGCGATAGAATTAAATCACGGTAACAGCTGTTAATTCGTAAGCTCGTACCATGTTATTTCGATTTTAAGCAATGTAGCCAGAAATCTAGACTCTTTGGCGCCAGACAGTCGTTTGCATGAAATGGCTCCAACGAGCATTTTTGCTGCTGTCAACTGACAGTTCAGGTATTAGCACAGTATAGATTATTACTTATTTCAATTTATAAAGCATATTTTGATAATCGCAAAAGTTTTATACTTAAAACTTTTTCTCATAGCGAGCGGTGAAGGTGAATTATAGAAAATATTCCTAGGTCATTTTTATTTCAAAACGAAATTAATATAATAATTTAACTATTTATAGTCACAGCTATTCTAGTCAATGATAATAGTAGATAAATAAAGTTGAAAGTAATATACGCAATAGTTTAAGCATTTAGAATATTTTTTTTACAATTAATGATAAGCTAGCACAGTCATACTTTCTTATGGCGAAAAGTTTGGCGGTCACAGATTAAAAATTCATTGTAACATGTATAATAGAGGTAACTAAATCTTGTAAGTTGAGACACTGAAATTCAAAGATATTTTGAGACGACCATTGAATGTTTTACCTACTAGTTTCTCTGAATTAAACGTTAATAACGTCAAAACGTTATTTTGAAGGCCTAGTGAGAAGATTGAAAAGGACAAAATCAGTCGAATTAGTGAATTATTGTGAGTGCACGTTAGACTTAAAGTACTAAACAATAATAAGTGAAAAAAAAATAGTACATAAGAACAGAGTGTCTTCCCTTTCAGTAATGTTATTGGACACTTTCTTATGTCAAATATTATACTAGTTACTGAATTAGGCCGGACTTAAATTACTTATTAGTCTTAAGTAATAATTAAGGCCTAATATTTAAGGTATAAGTAGTACTTAAATTATTACATTTCAAAATGTTGTAACTAAAATGTAAGTATCAATTGTGTATTCATTAACAAAGCTAACTATTGGTTCGAGTTACGGTAGTAAGGTAAATCTGATTAAATTGTTCAGCTGAATGTTTACCCATGCTTTCGTGTGCCATTCTGACTTTAGCGTACGGTAAATTTATAAATTATGTAATAAGAGGGTAGAGTGAGCGCGTCTTTACCTATATTAAAAATATTCCTAGTTATAAAGGAGACATTGAAACATTAAAATGTTTATCACTTAGTTCAATGCTCACGTATTTTAGTACGGCTTTTTATGATTCGACATGCATGCAATGTTTCCCTTAACTTCGTTCGCTGATTTAGGTATTTTTTAATATATAGTAAAAGGGTAGATTCACTTAGTTTAAAGTACGTCGAGTCCAACGCCTCGAGCGGCGTTTATGCAATGGTAACAGACAAAATACACGAACACATGCACACGGGAATTCAAAAGTTCTAAAACTATACATTTAATTGTGGTTGGTAGGCAAAGAAGACTGACCACGGTCTTGCCTACAAAACTGTTTCCACTGGGATTTCAAACACACAATATGTTTCTAAAAGTAGATTTTTATTTACGAGTATGATTTAAATTCCAGGTATGGATTTTCGGAGACGTCTGGTGTTCAGTATGGCTGGCTGTGGACGTCTGGATGTGTACTGCATCCATTCTAAACCTATGCGCTATATCTCTGGACAGATATGTTGCTGTGACCAGACCAGTCAGCTATCCTTCCATAATGAGCAAAAAACGCGCCAAAGCGTTAATAGCTGGCGTCTGGGTCCTCTCCTTTGTAATTTGCTTCCCTCCGCTGGTCGGATGGAAAGATAAGAGGGTGAGTATTGATTTTTTCCCGTGTAGATATATTATCTATTCGAGCTATTTTATAGCTGAAATATAAAAGACGTAATAACTTTTATATATCTGGAGAGTCAGCATCAAAGATTATACTTAAAAAATCAGTGGCGAGTTAATTTCGGTGGCGGTTGTTGAAGGGATGTTTTAGGCTTAGGCGCGGTACAAGATCAATATAAACGGTAATTATCGTCTACATTACCGCGCGGTACCGCACGCCAACGCGCGGCGCGCTCCGACCCGCGCGCAAGATCTTGAACCGCGCGCTTCCACGCGGCCGCGCGCGGCACAAGTTTAGCAAACCTGTATCGACCTGTTCAGTTGATCCGCGCGGCTTGAGACGGAAAGACACAAAGATCGATACAAAATGAGTACCGAAGATGAAATTGTGCCTATCGATTTGTTAATGTTACAGTGAGTTTTTCTTTTGGTGATATGCAATATCTTATGGCATCTTCACTGGATTTTAAATAATTTTCAATAGAATCGTATAAAAAATCAAAGGATGCAACTGACATCCGGAAATAGTTAAAAAATTATTACGTATTACGCGCGTACATATACCGTCATGTGAATGCTCCAACCGCGTGGCGACGCGCGGCTACGCGCGGTCATCTGAACTTAGCCTAAATATATATGTTAAATTCCGTTCAGTTTGGTAATTTAATACAAATAAAGAGCGGACCGTATCTCCCTCCTTCTGGTTTCTTCTATCCATGTTTGCCATAGTAATTTTGTATCATAATTTGATATTCGAAAAGAGTACGGAGAGCTTTTTCCGCCGGCTTTTTCTCTCGGCCTACACCCTCTGCCTTCTTTGCCGATGAGTAGGGATGTCTACAGATAAAAAAATTATGACGTGGAATACGTGATACCTGTAGGTATCTTAAATTCCATAATAAACATATTTTATTTCAATGAAACTCTTTGTTTGAAGCTGGGTGTGAATTGGCTTTAATCGTTTTAGTACATGAGCTTATAACTAACCTACAATTTTTGCGACGCTGGATTATCAAAAAACTAACATGACTTATTGAAGGGTTCTTAAATCTAAGTGACACTTATGTTACCGATAAAGAATATAAGTGTAGTCGACATTATCGGAAACGAGAAAGTTATATTAAAATTTATGAGTGTGGGAAAAAGTAGAGGGTTAAATAGGGTAATTTTGGCTTCAAGTGTGCGATAATTGCTAAAATTTATATGTTTAGGGGTCTGTGCCTCAGATTCCTGTATCCGTTTCATGATCATTTGTCAATCTAATAGGCAAGTAGGTGATCAGCCTCTTGTTGTGCGATTACGTCTTGACAAGCGGAAAGAGCTTGTAGTTTATTGTTTATCAGAATGTCATGCGTAAAATGACTGGTTCACGACTGATTTGAGCGCGACCGCCGCTGCGAAAACCGCTATGAGAGTTCGAAAGCGAGTTACAGAATCGCAAGGCTGTGCCTGACACTCGCCGTCAACTTTTTGGGTCTCATGCTAGCCAGTTTTTTCACAATGTCTTCCTTCACCGTTCGTGTGAAGCGCACTGAAATGATCTATGATGTTAAATGCGCACATAGAAAGAAAGTCAATTAGTGCACAGCCGGGGATGGAACCTACGACTACGAATGAGAGTCGCACGCTGAAGCTACTGGGCCAACACTGCTCATAATCATAGGATATAGTTAGAATTAATTCAAATATTTTTGAGTTTTATTTGTTTTTTTTATCGAAAAAGTTTATACGCCTGATTTTCTAGTTTTTTTGGAGTTCACTGTATTTGTAGAGTGTTTTCCAATGTAATCCTTAAAAGATTATAGATCGTATTATAAGTTATAAATAATAATGAGAAAATTAATAAAATACCATTTCTGTATCGAGTAAATTTGTAACTTGAAGTTATTATTAATATTTAATCAAAGTGCCACATGACCTAGCTTAATTAAGGCTAATTTTCTATAGTAGAAAATTATATTAGAATAACATTACTCATTGCCTATATTATATGAGTACCTACATAATTATACATTGACTAGAATGAATTCCATATAAAGTCCCCATATAGTTAAAAATCCTATCATAAAATTAGATATTCACTGTTAGATTTGAATATTTCTGGAAATAATATATTCGTAATACGCCGATTTATCTTGTTTTCATTGTGATTTCACGAAAATCTGGGATAATCTGTTCTTTTGTGTTTAAATAGCCGTTAATAATACTTAACGTTCGGTGAAATATTTTTAGGTGGTTTATTCAATTTTCCTAAAAAGACTTAATTTATAGCTAAGAAAAAATCATATGATACTCGTTTCCGATAAATGAAAAATGTCATCTTTTTTTCACATTCTACTTTTACTTCTTAAGATGGAAATCCTTTCGCATTTTCTTATCAAACCTTTTAAATGAACTTAATTAAAAAGTTAAATCTTTCGTATTGTAACTTTTTACGTAAAACATGCATCTTAAAAATAATAATTAAAAGCGACCAGTATGTTTTCTTTTGTCTACAAAGAAAAAGATTCTGAAAAGAACTGTGACATAACAATAGCTTACAATAAACAAAAGCGTCTAAGTTTTAATCGGAATAGTGATAATTTATTTTAATAAGAAAAAGAACGCCTGCTTTAATAACAAATTTATATTTGCTCTTTGAAACAAGCAGTGTAGCGACTTTTAGTAATATAGATTAAGTCAAGACTCGCGTATTCATTATATAGAATACTTAAAACTATATTACTTTAAGCATAGTTGGTACCAAAATATGAAACATGACGTAGCAGTCAATACGATTGTTCCATAAACCATGTAGAAACATTAGTGGTTCAATTTCAAATCGTAGATAAGCCTCGTGATAATTATAATATATATAAATAAAATAATTATTTAAAACAAAGATACCGTAGTAATTTCTCTTGTATAGGTTTTTATTCAATAAATTGTCTCTGCACACAGACAGCATTTAACATTACGATCTAACCTAACTTAAGACTAATAAGTAATTTTAAACTAACCTAATTTACTTAAAGGGATATTTAATAATAATAATAATCTTTATTCATTTCTCACAAAAACTTAGTACATGAAAAAGTGACAGTTATTATAAATAAATAATTGTCTGACTTCTGATTAGGGTTAAATGCTTTTAACATGAGAAAGTGTCCACTAAGACAACTTATAGCCTCTATCAAGGAGAAGACACTCTGATCTTGTGTACTATTTTTTTATCATATCTAATGTGATTGTACTTATTAATATAACCAATTTAAAGATTTAGATTTTTAAAAGGTTGACATGTGCGAATTACGAACCCCAATTGTTTGTAGGATCTATTTGAAACAGTTTCAATGTGTTCCTGTTCTGTCAATTCAACGTTCAAAATGAAGTCGCATACGGACGTACATCTTTTATTTCTTTAAGGTTTAGTTTGTATGTATTGTACAAAGTTTACGCGAAAATATTTTTATATTTACTTGTATTAATAATGACTGTTAGATTTATATAAGATCAATTAGTTCAGGTTAGCAAAACCCCAACAAGGGCGTCCATGGTAGCTTATATTTCAACAGACTAAAGAAGAACATTAATAATTACAGCCCACGGACGCTATGAATTCCCATGAAATACATCCTCCCTGCCCTTGGACTTGTGAGCTGACTAATGACGCAGGGTACG